CCTACTGTAGGCACAAAGGAGTTTGTGTGGGCAGGTAAAAGCTCAGAAACCATAATGGTGAGCAAAATATGGAATTGACAAGTTGCCAGGAGCATGAGCAGTGGTGCAACGTGACTGGCATGTGTGCTGTTAGAAGAAGTGAACTAAGGGCCCCATAAGCCAGTCCTCCTCCATTTTCCTGATCTAGCACCAGGGCTACTCTTGGTCTCCAGCTTCAGTAAAGTTGCATTTTGAAAGACATGGTTATTATGCAAACGCCTATAATAAATTTACACACAGGATCTTCAAAATCAACTTTGCAATATATTTTCAAAAGGCACAAGAAAATCTTAATTCCTCTCTTGAAATAACCATGTAAACTATAGACAATTTCTATAAGATAAATACCAACAGGACTCTGATCTCTCTCTGGATGTATGCACACCGGTGGGAGAGATGCAGCTACAAGCTGTACATATTTATCCATGCTATCTTTAGCCAAGTGCAAGCATGACTATTAAGGGAAGTGCAGCCAGGGTACATGAAGCTCAGTACTGGCTGCAACCTCCAAAACTGTTTTGCTAGCTAAGTTTGGGCTACCATCTACACAATTATCCATTTAATGCTTCCACAGATTCGCATGAAGTGCAATCAAAATCTGCACCTGCACCAGTAAAGCAGGCATGCCCCTGCATATTAGGGAATCAGAAAGGATTCTGCTCAGAGTCAGCATTATTACATCATTAACACTGATATCAGAATCAGCTATTTTGAATTCTAGTGCTAATGAAAGCAATGAATCAGAGTCAGTATGTATATAAACACCACCACATAGCCATACAAATTCTTGTAATCCAAACACAATTCCTGAGTGTGAAATACAGAAAAATCCGCTGATATTGCAAAACAAATCTGAGAAAGGTAAAGATATATATATGTGTAAGTAAGTGCACATATCTATATGTAGTAAAGGGGTGAGAAACAGTAATTTTAACAGGGATTATTGAGGACATAGCTCTTGGACTTTACTGGTCAGACCTGAAAGAAATACCGAAGGCACCATGAAGTACAAGCTGATTGCATTTCCATTTAAAGAAAAGCACTGCTAGGAAACCCAGAAGAGTGTTAGCAACAGAAATCTGAAAACCTCAGTCTTTATGAAGCTTCCTTAAAAAATATAGACATAAGTGTAAAAATACCATACCACAAAGTCTTTAAATCCCTAAGTATCATGTTGAGTGCCAACATGAAAAAAATGCAAGTCTTGTTAATATTTTCCTCTTATTCCCTTTCCAGTGATGCTAAATCAGTGGACATAATCCACGTTTTTCAAAAGCCACTTTTCTTCCAGCAAACTAAGTTTTAAAGCCATAATACTTTTAAACCTTTCTTTTGAAGATGCTACAGTACAAATAGCTGAAAAAAATTTATGAATTGCAAAGATGTGCTTTATTCTGTATTTCTGTCCAACCCACACAATCAATGGCTTTTTTGTTAAAAAAGCCCCAAAACAAACCCAAACACAAACCAAACAAAGCCTGTGTAAAGCTCACCCTTGACGTTATTTTGTGCTGGCTTATTTAACTCATGCAGGTTTAGTTTCTTGCAATTGAAAATAGGTAACTCAGTTTCAGCAGAAAAGGATCTGATCCCACAGGAAATATAAAACAGCTTGGGAGCTTTTTTTTTTTGCAACAAGAACATTGAAAAAAATAAATAGGATGTGAAGGAAAACCACTACTGCACTGTTCAGCTACTACTTAGGTCAAACTGATGGTGGCTGAAACTTGGTACCTGCTAATGGCTGCTTTTATGGCCTGTATCAAATGAATTTGATCAGTTTTCAGAAGAAAAGTACCCACGTCACAAACCTATTACTATAATTAGCAATCTTGATGATTGATAGTCCTAGCAAAAAGGACAAGGACTGAATGAGGTATGGAAAATGAACTATCCTCTCACATGCAGAGGTGGCTTTTCCAGGTCAGGGATAAAGCACACTATTGAAATAGTCTGAGAAAATAAGTACTGACACTTCAGTTTCCTGGGCTGTCAACCTTACACTATTCTAAAGCAACAAATTCATTAAAAAAAAAATTTTTGTTTTTAAGACCAGCAAACAACACACAACAAAAACAATCAATTCCCTCCCTCTCCTCCTCCCCAATTTATATTTTAAATTGAGAAGCCAGAAAATGTGATTAGGTCAAGATAAAAAGTATTATAATGATAATTGAACAAAAAGATCAACTAAGAAAATAGACACTTTAAGTACTACCAATATACCCCCAAATATCCCCTCGTATTTCAAAAGATAAAAAGCACAACGAAATAGCAAATGCTGCAGTGATAGTTATGGCAGTCAAGGCTGCACTTCCCCTGTACATTCTAATTTATGGAGGATAGCCTGACAAATGTCGACACTCTTTCTTACACTTGTAAAATATCTCAGCAATCTACAGCAAAAGACCTGATTTTACCAGGTTTTTATTTCTCATGCAAAATTCCTCATTACTATTATTATTCAACTTCTGTTATTCAGTGTTTGTCTTCCTAGTGTGCCCAGGCAGGTAACTTACATGAGAAAAAACAGGTTAAGACTCTGATTGTTAAAACTTGAAACATTTCCAAGTCCCTCTGAAATGTTCTTATGATGAATGGCATAGGCTAGAGTAGCTCTCCAGTTAGCAGAAAAGTAGTTGTGCAGATAAAGACAAAAAATCAAAATTAGAAGAAAGGACAAAAGACACAAAAGCTTTACTTGCTTCAAAATGTATTAGTAGTTTCAATAAAGATAAAAAAAAATTGTCCCACTTAGCAGATGAACAGCTACCAAGAACCCCCATCTACCCACCTCTTCTTTTCATATTTTAATTTAGGCTTCATGCTTTGAAAAGCATTATCATTGGGAAGCATACAGGTTCAGGTAGAAGATTTTGTCTGGGGCTTTATATGACTTTTTCTATAACATTAACCAAGCAAGTTCATTAACACATTAACAAAAGGCATCATCAGGATGTTTCTCCACACCTTGATCTTTGTTTGAGATTCCTTAGTTTTGTATGAAGATCAAGAAGATGGATTTTAATCTAGCGAAAGAGGCAATACGTACACCTATCATTACAGCTCCTCTGAGGAGTCTTGCACATTTA